TTTTTTTTTTTTTTTTTTTTTTTTTTTTCCAGCATATTCTGAAATCTAAGTCTGGATATCAAGAGTCCCTATAAATTATTACCACTTTAGAGTTTTCTCGTGGTTGGTCACCTTGTGGTATAGCCAATAAATCCCGTTAGTTACAGCCCCAGAGTAGCGGCATAAGAGTACTGACCGAGTCTCAGTTTAAGAAAGCATTCTGGCAAGATACAAGGTCATTTTCAATTTCTGCTTACAAAGACTTAGCAAATACTTTAAAAAATCTGAAAGAGATGGTGTTACAGTAGAGTTGCACAGTGCTTATGTCTAATATACACGAATCTGACGGTCGATCAACGAGATGAGCTCAGATCCACTTTCGCCTTCCGGGACCAGACTGGAATTGGTCAGCAGATCCGGTAAGACCTGGGAACTCCCCTTTAGAGTCCTAGTAGCCCCTGCCTCGCAGCCCCTGTCCCATCACCACTCCTCGGGTCTCTGCTTTGTGGTGTCGTATGCTCGAATCACCTCAGACTGTGACACGATTCCATTCTCATCTTGTGAGAAAGCATACCCATCTGTAAGTTACAGATAAAACAGAAATGATCATTGTCAGGTCACCGGAACCTCTGTTATTCTGAGTGCAAAGGACTCATTTTCTAACTTAGGGCCCCTCTATGGCCCTCCTGCCTTCAAAAGCATGCGTGAAGACACTTTTTTTATGTCTGGAAAAGATGCCGATTCAACTGCACCACGAAGAGTGGGCTGACCGCAGGCTGTCAGCTGACACTCTCTGAACTCTGGCCCCAGATGAATGAGCAGGTGCTCTCAAAACCCCCCGGCTCTCCCGTCTGCATCTCAAATCTAAGCCATCCACTTTTTGCTTCCTGGCATTTGGGGGGGTAGAGGTGGGTGTCTAGTCTAGCAGGCACATATACTTCCATCCAGAGCAGAGGCATGAGACAGAAGAATAAAAGTGAGAAGGAGGCAGAGATAAACACCGCCACTGCCAGTACTGGAAAAGTCTTCGTCCTTGGGATGACACTGTCCTTGGCTCTCCATGTCTACAGATAAATTCCTTCATGCCCCAGCATGGCTGGGGACAAGCAATGGCCCCCAAAGGGGTCACATCTTTAGAAAAGGCCTCTTGAAGCATAAAAGGCAAAAGCATTAAACACGAGTATATATAAATGAAAATAAATTACATGTAGAAACAACATGAAACCAAAGATATATTACTAACACAAATACATTTACTACAGGGCTTTATATATTATATTCTTTTTTAGATCCTTGAAATGTTAAGAGGGCCTGATACCTAATAATTTCTTACAACTTGAAATATTCATAAATATTTTTGAAGGGGGGGGAAATATATGTTTCACAGTGCTGTCAGAAAATGAAAAAACCCTTGCAAAGTTATTCAAGTCAAAAAGATAACAATACAGAGGGAGCTTTTAAGAGTTAAGATTTATTTCACTAGCTCTTTTTAAGATTTAAGGAAGCAAGGGGCATGTGGAAATATTATTTCTTCGAGTGAAAGCAGCAAGATTTGAAAATGCTTTGTCTTGTCTGCTATAAGTGAGATGGCTGTGGTCAAAGGTTTCTCTGAACACCAGTTATTTCTGTAATGGGTCTCAAAGAAGCAAAACGGGCAAAAGGTATTAAGTTTAAATGGTTAAATATTCCTGCAGTCAAAATGCAGCTCTCGTAAATGCTAGGGCAGAATGGCAGAGAATTTATTTACGAATCAGAACTCAGATACTTACGGAGCAGGTTTTGCTGTAATGATTCTGACCGGTACAAGTTCACATGGTTCTTCTTAAAGACGTTCTTGAGTAGTTGTGCTCTCTCCGTGAGGCTGCCGAGCAGGTGCAAATGTGTGAAATGAATTATCAACTCGGCAGAGACCCCACCGTGCCCACCGGACCACCAGAGTGAGTTCAACTTAAACAAAAGGTTGCTTGAGAAGTCTGGAGTCTAGGGTTTCTTTTTACCCCACTTTCTCAGAGGACAAATGAGATTTAAAGTAGTTAGATGCTCTCAAGGCCAGTTTTTTCCATAGCTAAGGAGAGTTTTATTCCCAATAATCCAGCCCAAAGATTTCCCCACCAACCCCCAGGTATCTTTAAGTCAAATGGGGATACAGACCCTGTACAATATGGTTAACAAGAAACACAAAGTCGGCCGTCAGGGTTATTAACTTCTAAAATCCTGGTTGACTTACTGAGTGCAGTCTAAGCATGGTATTTTTGGAATCACAGAAATTATTACCATAGATCTTCTTCCTACTTTGCACATATTTTGGTGTAAAATAATAACTTTTTAGTTATGTAAAGAAATCCTCAAAATTACACAAAAAAGAGATTTCACAGACTTTTTCACTAGAAAAGTTCCATTACCACTCCAATATGGTATGAAATGTGTTCCTTAAAGTCATTAAAAAAAAAAAAAAAAGAAACCAAAACCCTATTCCCAGAAAATACTAGGTAAAGTGATATGGAAAAATATTTATTTTTCAATAGACATTTAGAATAATCTCCACAGAAACAAATCCATGTAATTAATTATGTAACTTCTAAAAGCACACTGCAAGAAATAATGCATCTGTTTTTTTCCACTGCACGTAGAATGATGTCTCCCACAGTAGGGAGCCAATTATTTGTCAAATAAATGAATTTGAGCAGTTATTGTGAAATGCACTTTAAACATCACCGGTCCTCCCAATCATGCCATTTCTCTAGTGGCTGATTTCTAGAACTTTGCTTTGATATCAAAGAACATAATAAGCATAAAGAGCTACTAAGTAACCCACATGTGTTACAGCAAGTGTTTATGCAATTTTGTTTTAATCACTGGAATGGACTCAGTTGAAAAATTTCCTTCTTGTGTTTTTCCCACTACAAAAGTTTTAGTTAAATTGTTCTAAGTTATGTCAGTTCTGTATTTTGCCAAATTTTTTGAAATCCTGAAATGGAACCATTTTTATCATATACAAATAATAAAAGGATCCTCTGCAGAAGGAACTCGGAATTACACAAACATTCAGGCTTTTGCTGAAGTAAAATATTTAGAAATGTTGACATTTCTACTTATCTTCGACACATATTTTTTAAAGTCTAGGGACGTTAACGGGTGTTTAGTAGACATAGTTCATTGTCACTGAGAATTAGCTACGTTAAGGCAACAAAGCTAATTAATCTAAAACTCCAGTGGTTTTGCAAATAGTCGTAAACCTTGTTTTTGCCAGTGAAATAAACAGATACGGGGAGTGAGAAGGGACCATTTTTAGAGACGCTTTTCTTGCTCTGTTCCTAAAATGATCTAACATTGCAGACCTGGGGACCCCAAGGAACTCTAAAATCTGTAACTGCTTTGAGGAAATTGGCAGCTTTAGCAGCAGGAGGTCTGATTTTGTTAGCAGAGCGTTGGGATGGGGTGCTGGGAAGTCTCTGGTGTGTACGATGGAAACGACCACAGACATCTAGAAGACGGCAATGTATCATTATGTAGCTTCTTCTTCCCCAGATACATTTTCCAGGTTTCAGGCAGGCCTTGCTACATGCATAATACTTTAATATTATAACATTGAATGTTAAGAAGGGGGACGTGAGAATTTTATCTTTCATATTATGAAACTTACATGTATAAGATAATGCAGGTCTGTTTTGTAATGGTTCATATGAGGCTATCCTTTTATTCAGCTGTTATATCTAGGTCATGTCTAGTGTTCAAAAAAAAAAAAAAAGCAATAAGAAAGCTTCTTTCTTGGGAAAGGAGTACAGTACTGGGGACAGAGAAAGGGCTTTGGAGTCTTAACTTGGAGTAATTCTGAGTCTGTTACTTATTAGCTGGGTCGCCTCGGGCAAACCTTTCTTGGTCCTCTCACATCCACAGGAGAAGGAAAACCCCTAATCACCTCCCCACCCCGCCCCCCACCAACGGTGGGATTTGGGAAATTGTATGATTTCTACCATAGAGACTGACACTTAGGAGGGAAGCACTCAATGAACGCTAGTCCTTTCTGCCTTTACCCCTCTCCTAGCTTGCAAGGAATTGATCATATAAAAAAAATCAACGAGAACAGAGATCATCTCAAAACAGGAGGTAACTTTGTGAGGATCCTTTCTGATACCTTGGTTTAGAGTCAACATCAGCTCCACACATGATGTCTTTTGCTGTGTATGAGTTTTAATTTACAATGCCCCCACTCCACTTCCCTGGTAGGAAAACTACTAGGTTTCTGTTGTTTTTTTTCCCTTGAGCTATGCTGAACCTCTTGCTTTAGTGTACATAGGGCAGAGTCCCTCCTATGAAATAGAAATGCCATTCACAGGAGGGTGCTTAATAAATAATAAGTGATGATGATTGTATTTCTCTAGCCTTATCCTACCTTTTGGGAACTGCTCATCATTTCAGAATTATGTAGTTCTAGGTCCTTGATATTTAAAGGTACTGCTGTTACTCTCAAGTCACATTACATAGTATATTGGGAACATGTTAACCTTAATAGACACGTTAGAAGTTCAGTTTTTCTTGAATAGCTTAACACTGGGACAAGAAGGAAAAGACTTTAAAGAACCTTCTCATTAAAACCCAACCATAATCACGACTCCTAGTCAGTAGTGTTAATTTTGTGCTGTCTTTCATTTACATACCAAGCTGTGCAAGGTCTAAATTTGTTCAATGCAGTAATGAAAGTACCACTTAAATACTGTTACCTTATTTCCAAGCCCACTAAAATGTTTCAACTTAGATATTTGGTAGCAGTAAGGTACTGTAATGTTTTAAAATAATAATTTTATTAATTATTTAATAATTAAATTAATAATTTTAAATCATTAATTTTAATGTTTTAAAATAATAATTCTATTTAGAAATACTAAGTATAGGTAAAAACCCATTTACTGTCCTAGAACATATTGTCTGAAGGTATTTTCAGTTATTTTTGAAAAGTGGTAAATTTGCAATTGTTTTGGTGTTGGGTTGGCAAGCTATTCTGGTGGAGTCATTAAAATGGATCTCCAGAAAGTAAGGGTAAAGTTCTATTTAGTAATGGCTGCTGAAGTTTTGCTGGCATAGGTCTACAGTGATATATAAAAAATTATGACTCTCCTCCTATTTGCCTATCTGTAAAATGCTGTGTTTCCCACACTCATGAAAGACATCCATAGGTAACTGTCTTGTCTCCCATGAGCCCAGTGTCTACAATTCCTTATTTTAAAGCATTAGGTTTTTGAATTCACTTTTGTTTTTGTTATTGTTTTGTTTTAGAAAAGGTAAGATGTTACAATTTATAGATGTAATGCCCCCCCTAATGAGATCCAAGAGGACTATATTCCAAAAAATTTGTATTTCTGCTATAAAGTGTATGTTTACATTATAGAAAATATAAACACTATGAATGCCTTTATATTTATAGAACAAATGGTTTAGGTTTTTTCCCCAGCAAATGTTTGCTATAAACCTATGGGAAAAAAAATTGAATTTCAAAAGTTTTTTTTTGTTTTTGTTTTTGTTTTTTTCATTTTGAAATTGTAGATGCTATGCTCCCTAGTGTTGGAGCCTATCCACAAAAACAGGGTTTCATACCATATGAGGTGTTTTCTTTTTTTTTTTTTAATTTAAATTCAATTAGCCAACATATAGTACATCATTAATTTCAGGTGTAGTTTTCAACAATTCATCAGTTGCCTATACACCCAGTGCTGTGATGTGATGAGCACTGGGTGTTATATAAGTTGTTTTCCTTTTTTTTTTTTAATAATTTTTTTTTAATATTTTATTTATTTATTTGACAGAGAGAGATCACAAGCAGGCAGAGAGGCAGGTAGAGAGATAGGAGGAAGCAGGCTCCCTGCTGAGCAGAGAGCCCGATGCGGGGCTCGATCCCAGGACCCTGAGATCATGACCTGAGCCGAAGGCAGCAGCTTAACCCACTGAGCCACCCAGGCGCCCCTATAAGTTGTTTTCTTAGCCAAAAATAGTAAGCCATCGCTACACAAAGATCAGAGGTAAGGCTTGCATTTATTGTCCCAATATTTAGACTTAAACTGATTTCTACCATAACCCAAGGTTCAAAAAGCAATATACTGTACTTAGATGATGAAATACATCCCCCCCCAATTTCAGTATAAAATTGGAATAAATGTATCTAATTCACTGGATAATATGGTCAGTGATATACTATTTCTAAGACTTTTAACCAAAATGTTGCAGTTTTGCACATCAGTAAACATGAGAAATAAATGGTTGTAAATGCTAGTCTGGACACAGTGCTTAAAAGCCCAAATTTCTCTGACACAGTGCTCAGAGGAGATTGAAAAAAATGGGGGGATGATCAATTTACAAGACTCAGTGTTACTCTGGACATGACTCATTTGGGAAGTGTAACCTATATAATTCTATGCTCTTATATATCGTATTTTTATTTAACTACCCATGGGTCAGTCATCTCTTTACCACCCACTACTCAGTCATCCTTTCACCTACTCATTCATTCATTCATTCATTCCTCTGTTCATTCTCTGGACCCTTCAATCACCCATTCGACAAATATTTATCAAGTGCTACTGTGTTCCTGGGTCTGTGCTAGGTGTTGGGTTGCAGGTAAGACTAAAAAGGAAGCCTTTCCTTCAAGGCGCTCACATCTAGTATGATGTGTTTGTTTATAAACACATCATAATACAGTGCAGTAAGTATAATTATAGAAGCATAAAGAGCTCAGAGAGCAGAATGGGAATTAATATTATCTCAGAAAAGGTAAGGTGATGCACCTGAGTTGAGGTTTGAAAACTAGGAATTGGACTGCCCCAACTATGGGGGGAGGATATCAGCTTCTTGACAAGGGAACAGCATTTGCAAAGACTGGGAGGCAGAAAATAACACGGTATTTTGGAACTAAAATAAGTCTGATATCACTTGACTACACAGAAACCACAATTTCTTTCTCTTTGAAAATATAGATAAAATTAGCTACCTTTTTTGAAATTTTACATCAATCTCATTCTCCAAGTCTCCTAAAATAATCCTGGCAGTGGGGTGCCTGGCTGGCTCAACTGGTAGAGCATGCGATTCTTGATCTCGGGGTTGTGAGTTTGAGCCCCATGCTGGGTATAGGGATTACTTAAAGTCTTGAAGGAAAACAATCCTGGCAGTAAAACCAATCTGACAATTCCCAACTGCTTTAGGATGTCACTGTTTCGCATGAAGACTTTTCCAATGAGTTGCTGTTTTTCTTCCTTTACAGATCCCTTCTCTTCTCTCCCCCACCAGCCATCATCCAGCAGGAAGGCACTGTGGTCACCATCCTTCTGGTTATGGATGGGCAGCAACAGCAACATGGGGTATGTGTTATACCACAGGTTTTCATCTGTGGCCTTAAGCTAAGAGCTAACGCATTTCTGAGTTCTTGAGAAAAGCTGAACAGCTATTTTAGGCAAATAAGGCAACAGCAGGAAATTTGTCTGATGCACTTGCTATGGAAAAGCTGGTCATTTATGGTGGAATTCACTATATTCCTTCAGGCTCTCTCTCTCTCTCTATCTTTTTAAGTAATCTCTATACCCAACATGGAATTCGAACTCACAACTTGGAGATCAAGAGCTGCATGTTCTACCTACTGAGATAGCCAGGGGCCCCCTCATTCAATCATTCATTTACTGTTACTTTTAAAAATATTACTGTATCTATTTTTTTTTAATTAACATATACTGTATTATTTGTTTCAAGGGTACAGGTCTATGATTCATCAGTCTTACACAATTCACAGCACTCCCATATCACATACCCTCCCCAATGTCCATCACCCAGCGACCTTCAGCTTGTTTCCTGAGATTAAGAGTCTCTTATGATTTGTCCCCCTCTCTGGTTTCATCTTGTTTCATTTTTCTCTCCCTTCCCCTATGATTCTCTGTCTCGTTTCTCAAATTCCTCATATAAGTGAGATCATATGATATCTTTCTCTGATTGACTTATTTCGTTTAGCATAATACCCTCTAGTTCCATCCATGTCATTGCAAATGGCAAGATTTCATTTTTGATGGCTGCATAATATTCCAGTGTGTGTGTGTGTGTGTGTGTGTGTGTGTGTGTGTGTGTGTGTTCACCACACCTTCTTTATCCATTCATCTGTTGATGGACATCTAGGTTCTTTCCATAGTTTGGCTATTGTGGACATTGCTGCTATGAACATTGGGGTGCATGTGCCCTTTCAGATCACTACATTTGTATCTTTAGGGTAAATACCCAGTAGTGCGATTGCTGGTCATAGGGTAGCTCTATTTTCAACTTTTTGAGGACCCTCCATACTGTTTTCCAGAGTGTTTATTCATTTATTTTTTTAAGATTTATTTATTTTAGAGCTAGGAGTGAGAGTAGGAGGAGGGGCAGAGGGAGAAGGAAAAGCAGACTCCCCCCTAAGCAGAGAGCCCTGATGCTGGGTTTGATTCCATGACCTTGAGATCATGACCTGAGCCAAAATCAAGAGTCAGATGCTTAATCAACTGAGCTACCCAGGTGTCCCTCTGACTTATTATTATTTTTTTTATTGATGGGGAATACCTTCATCGCAGAATCATTGAATCTTTAGGACCAAGAGGTCACTACAGCAGAACCTCAGTGTGAGTTTAGGAATCACTGAAGTCACCTATAATATACGAAAAACCAGGAGAACTAAACATCACGTGTGGGGCCTAACTAAGGTTTATGAACATACTTACAAATATAAGGAATTGACTCCTAAGGGTATTAATAGTAATAGTAATAGTTCTTTCCCTAATAGTTGTCAGTAAATAGTTTTATTCACAAGTTTGTAAGCTAGGATCCTAGCACATCCTTTTTACAGCTAGAGTGAAAGAGAGAAAAATTGACTGAGGGACACTTGGGCCAGACAATGGACGCGTAGACGTTTAGGTGAAGGGACAGAGATGAGGGGAAGGTAGAGGGAGAAGAATTCTCATAACTTTGAAAGTAGTTGTTATCATTTCCATCCTACACACAGGGGCACTGACAGAGAGTGGTCAAGAACACTGTCAGGCTGGTGGAGGCTGTTTTTGCAGCTGTCTCCAAGGGGCTCCGGAAGGTGCTTTGTGACTTCTGACTGAGAACTTACTCTAAGTCCCAGTTTCCTCATCTGGAATGAACGGGGTGACTAACTCGCACAGGACTGTTTCGGGGAGTCCCACGCAACAGCGTAGATGGCGGGATACGTGCATCACCTACATGTAGTGAGCGCTCGACACACAATGGTCTCTGCCCTTTATGGGAGGGGCGCGGACTGGTGTGTGAGTGACCAGTGCCCCCCGGCCTCAGGCAACTGAGGAAGGCTGGAAGCCAAGGTCTCAGCTTGAGTTCCTGGTCTGAGACTCACTGAACTGTGTCAGACCGAGTAACAACAGCAAATCGTGATGACAGCGTCAGACATGGGAGCAAAGCATTTCCCCCGGTGTAGACAAAACCTGAGCTCACGGTAGTGTGACTGAAACTGGTATTATCTTCCCAATTGTGTTCTATCATAGACTGTGTTCAAACACTTTTAATTTCTTTCCCACAATGCTTTGTGAATGCGGTCAATTTGATTAGGTTTCTGACCCTATTGTGGGGGGGTGGTAGTGAGCCAGGGACTTGGAAGACATAATTCACCTCATAGGTGACACACGCCCAGGTCAGTTCTGAATACGTGCTAAGTGTTACTATCGTGCACGGGGCTCTAGATCAAGCTCTGATTTTCACTGTTATTTTATTACGGATACTGTTTCAAGCTGAAAGACTTTTTTCCTCTTTCATTTTAATAATACAATAATATTTGTGACGACCATTTATTCATTAAGAACAAGACACCAAGATACCAGCTTTATCGATTATATCTTATTTAATTCTAGAAACTAGCCATGGGAGGTATTATTATCCCCATTTTATAGATAAGAACACTGAGCCTCAAGAGCACTGAGCGACTGGGCTAAGGTCACGACATAGCTTAGTGGCTTCGCGAATGAGAGATTGGATTTGAATCCACAACTCTCTGATTCTAGAATAGGTCATTGACCCTGCCAGATCCATGTTAAGTGATAAACGTTAAGTTTTAGCCCTTATTTCTAACCCTAGTAAAACACAGAGTTCACTTGGGAAAGAGCAAAAAAGTATTTTACCTTTTTCCCAGCACAACTGCCCCTGGGTCTTGGGACTTCGCTTCCAGCTCCTGAACTTCGTCTACTAACGTTTTAAAAGCAGTCCTCCTGATCCTGGGGGGAGGGGCGGGGGGGGATTCACACGTAAATCTTTGTGTGAAGATGTAACACTTTACAAAATTGGGTTGTTATCGTGCTGCTAGGTACAATAGTAACCAGAGAATGGGCAATCATTTTTCAATAGAATTCACAAAATTATAGTAATTTTGAGCATTATGTAATTATAGAAACAAGTCTTAAAAGGCATGCTTTAGTTTTATAATATTAAAACTCTCATAGTTGTTAAATAAGCATCATGTAATTAACTTTAATGCTATCGTCTTTTTTGTGGGAAGAGGTAACATTTCAAAACTGACAATCCTTGAGAAAAATTAGTAAAGTTTTAATTTCTTTCATGCTATAGTGCATATAGGCTTTGAAACAGGCAGGCAAACCACTCCCCCCACCCCCCGCCCCCGCCAACTCTTGTTCATCCATAAAACAAATGCATGTTTTGAGATAACAAAATTTTCTTCTTTCTTGAATGGAATTTCGAAGCTGATTTCTAAGAATGTACTCTCTAATATTAATTGAAACTACTTGCTTTCCTTCTCATTGTTTTTAGACTAATTTCCTAATTCCTCAATCACTCATTTCTCCTTTATTTACATATGCAGAATTAATTAACATTCGTAATTCCTACTTGGTAAACTGTACATTCTCGACCTGATGTTACAACTGGAGAAGTCTGAGGAGTAACATGCATCTGTATTTTGATGTATACAACTGAGTACTATACTTACACCTTGTACACCACATCAAGAAGCAAAGATACCACTGGGATAAACAACAGGCCCATCCAGAAGACGCCAGAACTAAACAACATGGCAGCCTGAGTAAATGATCAGAAACAACATTGCTTTAATAACCAAGACATACATCATTCATGTTCAGTTTTTATATGATTTTAAGTAAAATAATTAAAACACACTCTGCAAGAGGATATACCATGACTTCAAATCCAACCTTGTGCACAATTTGGAATTAAAAGCCAAATGTGTTAAAACGTGTCTTTACTACATTTATTTCCCACCCCCCCCCCTTAAGCAGCTAATACAGCAAGGTTTTATCATGTGCCAAATATTTTCATACTTTCATGTGAGATTTTTATTACTGTGGTCAATTCACGGAGTAATAAACGTTGACCTTCTCTTACAATTTAGAATATCAAAATCAAGTTTTTGGAGCAAGTTTCAAATATACTCTGGCTTCCATTCTCTTGTAATGTGTAAAATAAATCCTAGCTGGAGACTAAATTTACTATTCCTGGCAAAATAATTAACTTAACTTTTGTTAAATATAACATATTTAAAAAATCATCCACATAAAACATGATACAGTATAATCAAATTAAGATATCTATGATATTAGGCAGAATGATCTTAATTTTTGTTCAAGAATTTACATAACTTGTATCAGTATGTCCTATTACTGCAAAAGTCAAACCAAGTATGCAGTGTGCAAAACCCAAATAACAGTGTATTAAAAATAATTCTAATCACTCATTTGTATTAAATACTAAATCACTATATCAGAATCTTTTAGGTTGCAAAGAAAATGATTCTATGGTTAAAAATTAATAAATCTATTAGCTCTTTGCAATTAGAACAAAAATCCCTCTGTATGTAATTAGATCCACAGAGTTTAAAAGGAATATGTCATACAATAAAACCAAAAGAAATATCTTGTTTCACTTTGAGGCTATTTGTTTACCAGAATAAATTTGCAGTGCCTGTTTAAGTGCATAAATGTATTGATATAACTCCATTAGAAAGCAGCCAACTAATGCAAACACCATTTACACTCTGCTTAAATTCATAAGGATTTTTTTTTTTAAACCAGGTGTGGTTCAGGAATTAAAGATGACCTAGAGTTTAATTCTTACAGGCTAATACACAGTTACATGTTACAGTCCTAATCAATCAATCCTTATCTAATACAAAGATTATTAATTTTGAGATCACCTATTCATCTTGACTTTCAACTGAGGACCAGGAACTCGCTTAATTTTTTTTTGTTTTTTTCATTAACATGGGCTCATTGACATAGACGGTCAGCTCAAGGATGCTATGGACTTTCCCCCCTTATATAGGATTAAACAACTCTGAAGCATGTTTAAAGTAAAAACATACTACTACAAAAGAATTTCAGAAAATAAATGTGGCCACGTGGATTCAGTGAAATAGCACCTATATTCTAGACACCAACAAGACGAAAAATATTCACATAAAAGTCACTTTATTTTATAAGCAAAACATGATCTTCAACATGTTTGCTGACATCTTCAATAGTGAAAACCAACAATTACAATGTAATAGGAAATGTCTATCAAATCATTGGGTTTTGTTTAGATTGAAGGAAGCTTTTTAGTAGGTAACAACTGCAAACACACACACACACACACACACACACACACACACACACACCCCATCAAAACAAAAAACAAACAAACAAACAAAAACCCACACCAAAAAAACCCCACAAAAAACCAGACCACATTTCTTTTTCCTTCTCGGGGGAAAAGGCAGATAAGATTTTAAGTCCCACAACTGAAAATGCCTCCTTTGCTTGGCGTAATTTTAATCTATTTTAATTTAGGGGCAAAAGAAGAAAGATTTATGCTTGCCTTTGCCACCTTGTATTAGATGTCGCTGGTGGAAAGGCAAACGTGGTGTGGAGACTCTGGGCTGCTAATTCTGACCATTGTGATGTTAACTATGAATGGGGAACAACGGGCGCCCACTATTCAGTCCACCAGCCTTTGGCTTTACAAATGAACAACATGAATTGAGGGGAAAAAAGTTTTTCTGCATCATATCTGAAAGCCTGTCAGATTTTTTTTTCTTTTGCAGAGTTAATCCAAACCTAAAAGATTTAAAGCCGACATTCGCATTAAAGACAGAGTCTCTTTGTATTTTTTGGAAGAAGAGGGGGGAGAAAAAAAATAAAATCCCACAGAGGTATTTCCTTCCTTTCTGTACAAGAAAGCTCCCCCTCCGTCTGGAGAGACCATTTTTGTCTCTAACTTTTCACATCTCGCCACTCACAGGCAGGTCAGCTGGGGGAAAAGCGCCTGATCCCTGCAGACAATGCTGGTAACAGGAGTAGCCTGTTCGGGGCCGGGCTCGGACTCCCTCCGAGAGCGGTTTGTAAATTGCTCCGAACGTGGGAGACTGGTGGGCCCTGCCAAGGGGCCCCCACGGCCCCCTCCTCGAGGCCCTGTGAAACCAAATGGAATCTGCCACAAAAGTGGCTCCCAGGGGACTTGAGTCGCCGCAGAGCCGGAAGGTGGAGGGCACAGGCCTGCGCGGGGAACAAGAAGCGCTTGTCTCCGGCCGTCCGATCACGCGGGCTTCCAAAGTGAACTCACGCGGCCGGGAAAACGCAGGTTGCGGAGGAAAGAGGAGGCATGGTTGGGAAACTTCCGTGTGAACTCGCAGAGAAAGCACATTTGAGAAAACACCAGCGTGTCTCTGCATCTGAGGCAGGCCACGGGGCTTGACTGGCCCACAGGAGGCGGTCCCCTAGCACCTACTTCCCACACCAGGGAGAAACACTTCTTCCCCATCAGGGCGCCCAAGTTCAGTCTTGTAGGAGAGGGACTTTACATGTGCTACCTGTCTACCCCAGTTTAGGGTCCAGGTTCTTTCCTCTACCCTGCCTTTTCAACATTAAATGTCAGACTGGTGCACTATGACTCTCAGTCCTCAGACTATGTCCTTGGGCCCTGATGGGAGCAGGACTGATCATAAACAGCCCTGAGTAGTCCTGGCACTGCCCTCCCTTCCCAGCTCTCACACTCCTCCGGGGACAGGACGTAACTCTGCTTCCTCAGCTGGAAAGTAGACTAAGAATTAAACCTCATGCTGTTTGGAGAGGAGCTCCTTTTACTATAGACACTGATTAACAACCTTTTCCTTCTTCACTTAGTTTTCAAATTTCTTAAAATACCTAGATATTTCTTTCTAGTGATCTCTTCTATGAGCTTCAAGGAAGGACATTTTTGACACAGTATCAAAATTCAGTATAAGTCAGCTTGTAAATGTCACAATGTATGTTCATCTCAAGACTGAAACTGACCAAGGTAAGGGACCACTAGTAAGTTGCCATTCATCTCTATTTGTTAATTTAGGAACTGGAGACAAATTATCTTTTTCATAAAAATTATTAGACTGTCAGGGCATAATAATTTAGGAAGGGAAAATTATTCAGAAAACAGTGCTGTAAATCTTGCTTAGTTGTTTTGCAGAGGGGCGGGAGGACAGCAAGATAAATTAATATAAATTCCAGGGAGGTGAAGAGTTCATGTCAATAATAACAAAAAAACCAAGGAGTGATTATTAAGTGTCTAGATAAGGCTTTATAAAAGGGCTTTTTAAGTTTAAGAACAGTAAAACAAAACCAAAAGTTATAAGAAGAAATGTTTTAAAGAACGGATTCATAAAAATGTCTAAGTTCTCCATGTTCTGAAAGAACATAACTAGAAAGTAAATGATAAACAAGAAACTGGAGAATGAATGACTGCCACAAATATATGAAATTCTGCATTCATACTGGATTATAAAAATAGACCATTTATCTTCATAAGAACAGCTAAGGTCCCAATAAATAGGCAGAAGACCAGAGAAGGTATTCACAAAAGCAGCAGCAAATAATCAATAACATGTTGCGCCTCTGTGTAGTCATAGAAACACTACAGATTAGATCAGATTGAAACAATTCACTATCACAGCTGGTGTGGGAGAAACAGCTCTTTGTAATAATTTATATTCCTACTGGCAATATACTCGCCTTTGGGGAAAGTATTTGGCAATGTGCTTCAAAGATATAAACATTCATTCCTGTTAATTTGATAATTTAATTTCTGGAACTATGTGTTGAAATTTGGGACAGCTTTTGCATATAGGTTAGTATCCCATGAAACAGTTCTGTGGTTACTAGTCCTGAGAGCACAACCCCCAAAAAGCATGTTATGGCTCAAGGCTTAGTAAATGTATAAAGAAACCACAGCAGCACCCCCTTAAGAGTCACATAGCAAACTAGCATATTTGAGGCTTTGAGAAATTGCTGTAAAGAACCCTACTGAACAGTTATTTAGTTATTTACTAATTGTTTTATTTAAGTAATCTCTACACCCAACCATCGAACTGACGACCCTGAGATCAAGAATCATAAGCTCTTCCAACTGAGCCAGCCAGGCACCCCTGAACTGTTTTTTATTTTACTTAATTAATAAATGTATTTATTTATTTGAGAGAGAGAGTGAGAGAGAGCTCGAGAGGGGAGCAGGTCAGAGCAAGAAGCTGACTCCCCACAGAGCCGGGAGCCTGACGTGGGACTTGATCCCGGGACTCTGGGACCATGACCTGAGCCGAAGGCAGTTGCTTAATCAACTGAGCCACCCAGGTGCCCTTGAACAGTTTTTTAAATCAAGGTTTCCAAGTGTATTTATCCACATGAAATGCTTTTGCCACATTCTGCTTACTAACACATCCCCTGGAACTAATTCTGGGGAATGCAAATATTAAACGTGGGTTCTTTTAAATAGGAAAACATCAGTGAAAATGAACAGGACACCATGCGGCTGGTTACAGAGATGTACATCCATATTAGGGTTTATTATCCAAGCTGTTCAAGATGCTGTTCACAGACTGTAATTATTAGAAAAAAATTATTAGAAAATTATTAGGATTGTCTTAAAGAGCCCTAAATAAAGGGAAAGGTAAAATATCCCAGCGGTCTGTCAGGAGGCTTCTGTTAGCATGTAAACACACTTCCTGGGAAGGTTGGTGGTTTCTATTATCTCTAAGGGGATCAATCATAATCTGTTAG